TCTGACTTTCTCCTCTTACGCCTTTTGAACAACCTCATTCGTATCCCTCTATTTTCTTGAGTATCTCTTCTTGGGTCTTATATTGGGTAAATAACACACACACACACACACACACACACACACACACACACACACACACACACACATATATATATATATATATATATATACACTAAAAAAGAGACAAAGTTCGTTCAGATCACTACTCGAGTTCCATGCTATCGCGATCGCAACAATAACAACAACAACAAATAAATAAAAATAAAAACGAAGCCACCTAGGACGTGTAGTCAACCAAGGGAGACAACTCCTTCATCTCCAGTTATTTCCCTTGAGCTGTGCAGACATGCGCACCGCTCTCTAGTCCAGCCATGTTGAATAACAGACGCCTTTTGTTTTGGTGATGTTTTATACGGACTCTATCTACCATTGCTGATAATTTATACCTGTATTATTGTCTCAAGTGCCAGGGAAAGTGATTACTTACTCGTCTCGTGAGAACCCAGGTGAGTAGGTGAAAATTTGTGTCTCAATGCACCCGTTATACCTTGCACGATACCTTTTTAATTCCGGGCTCGGGAAGATAGAGTTAAAAAGAGCAGAAGACTTTTACACTGTATGTGGTTTTAAAGCTGTTCAAAGTTTAACAGGAATTTTGTGTTTGTTTTCTTATATTAAATTAAACGAACACTATGAACCGGTGAAACTCAATTAAATATTGACTTGTTATTTTTTTTCTTTTAAGGATCTATGCAAGTCATTTGTTTTTGTTTAAGTTAGTAAAATTAAGTTTTATTTTTATAGGGAATTAAAAAAAATTTTTTTTGACTACAAAAAACAAAAACAAAATGAAAACATCGTGGTTTCCCCAAAAGGAGTCTTGACTTTCGATCTGATCTCTATTGTAATTAATTTTAAAAAAATATCTGTTAATTAGGAAAAGAAAACAGTTAATTTGTAATTAGAATAATATTTTGCAAAATGCTTCCTAGTTATTTTATTATAAACTTTGTAACTATTATGAAAATTAATTCGCACCAAATTTTCAGATGTAGAGAGCAGTGTTCAAATATTAACGCGAAATTTTTTGAGAATTAAATTAATTGATAAAAAATTGTAAAAAAAGAAAAAAAATAACTTTTCCTTTTTTTTAACATTAAAAAAAATTATATATTGAGAATGTCTGAAAATTTTCAAAATTAAAAGAAAATGTGAGATTTATTTTGGGGAGAAATATTTTTTTTTTAAGTTAAACACTAAAAGAACCTACTAAAAATGGAAAACTGGTTTATTTCTCCCAATTAAATTAATTTTTGAGAAAAGCGGGCAAGTGTTTGTAGACATACAAATTAAGGTTTTCTAAAGTTTTGACTTAATTAACTTTTAAGAAGCTGGGACTATTGGTAGTTTTTCATTTTTTTTTTTTTTTTTTTACAAAAACGTTAATTAATTTCATTCATTCATATATTTATTGTTTTAGCTTAAGTTTGTTTACATGGCTCAAGAGATAGATATAATTACTGAATGAGGTATATGAAAGATAGGAATGTAATGGTCCATTCATTAACCACTGAATATTAGTAACAGAATTTTCTAAGTTACTAAAGTATCTTTTTCAAACATGCCGGTTCTACTTCAATTTCTTGTAAAATCCTCTGGATTTTTCGTTTACAATTTTAGTACGCCAATAATAATAAATTTTGTTAACGAATCATTTATTGACGAATTTATTTTTTCTCGTCTGAAACAAGGGAAAGTCTTTAATTAGGAATTTGAATTTTGCAAAAAAAAAAAAAAAAAAATTTTTTTCTTCTTCTTCTTCTTCTTTTGGTTGTGATAGAGAATTATGCCGGCGAAATCTCCCCGACTCTTGTTTTTTTTATTTATTTATCATATCTATTTATTTTTCTGTCTTTCCGTGAATCAACTTTATTTTTTTTTTTTTGCAAATCACTAGATTTGCAAAAGAAAAAAAATTACCATGTTTGTGTATAAAAGATTGTAAGAAAGAGATATGTGTACTCGTAAGGTGCGCTTGTTGGGCGGCTTTTAAAAAGGATAAATAATAAATGAAATTTATTTCATGTCTTTACTTTAAAAATACTCCAACATCTATGTTTGGCAAAGGAAGGACTGTTTTGTTTACACGTGTTATGCACATATAAATAATGTTGCATGACTCAAGTAGTTGTCATTTTGCCAGTGATGATGCTAAAGAAGACAGAAGTCGCTGCTCGTCTGTGACGAAATGTCTGTCGTGTTCTCTATTTATTGATTATATTTTTATTTTTATTTTTTTTGTATTTTTATTTTATGCATTTGTAAATTTTGAGAATACCCCCACCCTGGGAAAAAATAAATAAAAAGAAGCTCCGTCGATGTTAATTTTCTAGAGGTCTCTGGTTCTTGAAGACTTGAGATGACCATTTATTAGGAAAGGACAGGTGTGCGCTTTTACACGTCGTGAGCTGTTTCTTCAACTCTTCCTGTCTCTTACACCATTATTTTCCGTTTTTAGAGACCCAGAATGCTTTGCCTACCTGTGCTGACATTAAAATAAGAACCCTCAGATGACAAGAAGTTTTTTTTTTTTTTTGCGTGTGTAAGTGTTACTGTTAAATTAGGTTCTTTTGATGGTAACGAACCCTTTTTATTTTATTTCTTGTTTGCGTTTGGTTTGGGCTACTGCTTACTACACCGTTCTGACAAACCTTGAACGATAAGCCCTTAGGTTATTGTTGTGTACGTGAAATTTATAGTAAATAAGTAGCTGTAAGTAGTCGGGGGTGGAGGAACGACAAAAAAAAAAGATAAATATTAGTTTAGTACTATAAACAAAACAAATAAAATAATAAAAGAAATTAGAGATGTAATTCTTAGGTGTCAAATACGTATATGGTCATCGGCATTTAATTAGGAATTGTTTTCCAGTTTAGTTTGTACAATAAACGAGGAATGAGTTTGGTACCTGAAAGTAAAATAAAATCTGTTTATTTCAATTCATTTAAATTTTCACTTTTTTTTTTTTTTTTTTTTTTTTTTTAAAAAAAAAACGGAGTTTACGTTGCAAAGTCTCTTGTCTTTTTAATTTTAAGTTGAAGTTGAGAAAATAAATTTGTGAGGCTGAACATTACTCAGGTGCAAACAAGATATTAAAAAAATATTTATTTTTAACGGCACAAGTTCATAAAAAATAAAATTAAGTTTTTAATTGGTTGTTGTCTGCTTGATTTAAAAATGTGTTTTTTTTTATTATTATTTTGTTTGAGATTGTTTATCCAAAAAATTAAAAAAAAATAATAATGAATACGTTTTCGGCCTTGCATTCTCTTTTGAAACATAAAGCAATGATAAGCCTAGTTGCAAAGACTTTAAACATTTTTAAAATTATAATTGAATTGAAATAATTATTAAAGTAAGAACAAATTTTACCAGACCTACCCAAGAAAAAAAATGACTCTTCACAAGCGTGATATTATCATGCATTATTTAAAATGTTTGCATTTTGATACTTAACATAAATTGTAACAACCATGTGGACATCAACTTGGCATGAGCACATGAATTTCATAGTAGCATAGCCTGGTCAGTTTATACTGGGGAAATTGACACCATTTTTAATTGTTAAATATGCATCCATGTCACTCTGTCTACTTACAATATTTCATAATTTACCCTTAACGAAATTAAGACTGTTTGCTGTGCAACCGGGAGAAAAAAAAAGTGAGACCAGTTTATTTGTAATGCCGATATTTTCTCTAGGCATGTTTGTTTCCATTAAGTTCGAGGAGGCGAACTGGAGTTCAATCTCACCTGCCACCCACTCGAAATATGCACAATATATGGCATACGCTTGTTTGTTGACTATTACCAACACTAGGTCAGCAGTCAGAAGAAGTTTGTTGTATGCTACACTTTTTTGTTTGTTTTTAATCCACTCCGATCAAGGCGAAAACGCCACTAAGACGCAAGAGGGTACTGGGAGTGAAAAAGAGAATGAGAAGACTTTAGAGAAAGAACCGGAAATCTAATCCTGAACAGGAAACAAGGGATAAAACTCAATTCCTGTTTCAAAAGACTGGGGAGGTGTGTGAACCGGACGATAGGCAAACCTATCCACTCCTATTGAAAGTAAGAAAAAAGAAGTAAATAAATAGCAAATAAAATTTCAAAGTTTAGCTGGAGATGTTAGATTAGAAGAACTGAAACCCAATCCTAAACAGGAAAAACCTCTACTCCAGTTCAAAGGACTGGGGAGGCGTGTAAACCGGGCTATTGTATAGTAAGTTTAGTAAACAGGAATGATTTATTAGAAATAGGCTTTTTAATTGTCACCATTTTAAGAGTTTTTTTTTTTTTATATACTAATATTCATACAATACAAGGCACAAGAGCCACTCAAGATAGATGGTTACTGTGTGGTATGGTATGAGCATAAGAAAAAGCAAGAAATGAAGTTCATGGTGTTATTTAGGAAAGAACCATAGACTTGAAGAGGCCAAGATTGTAACAATCTTGTAAACAACCTGCCGGGATCTGTTCCACAAAGCAGCAGTTCTTGGGAAGGAGCTGTCCTAGTGGAATACAAAGAGAATGAGGATGATCTTTGTGTACGTGATATGGCAGGTCTGGGCTGATGGGACCAAGGAATGTAGCTTGTCAGAACACATGCCATGGAAATGATGAGAGGCTTGCAACCTTTTGTCTATGGGGAAGGGGTGGCAGAGTGGAAAATAATTCATCACCCACAAGGCTGTTGTTTGATATTGATTCAATTCTTTTTTTTTTTTTTTTTTTTTTTTGTGACAGTTTTAGTTCATCTTCGAGCATATTTTCTGTTTAAAATTATTGAGGAAAGAAATAAATGGAAGGAAGAAAGAAAAAAAAAAAAGCTTTTCTTTCAATGTGGATTGTATATAAGAAGGCTAGAGGAGAGATGGACAAAAACATTGTGGTGAGAACAAAGTCAACCAAAGAATGAGTTGATTTGCCCCTGAGGCTGACAGCCATATCACGTTGAAACACCAGTTTCCTGTACAATCACCTAAGTTAAGCAATGTCAAGCTTAGTCACTACCTAGATGGGTGACTGCTTGGGAATACCAAGTGCTGTAAGCTTGGATGTGGGGGTGGTTTAATGGATAAAGGCTTGGAATTGTTAATCAGAGAGCTGATTCAATTTCAAAGTTTCAATTTCTGTTGGGTTTGTTATAATCACTTACACACAAATAGCCTTGGGAAAGCTAGGAATCAAACTCTTTTCCCCCCCAGCTATAGGTTAATTAGTAAGACTTGTATCACTAAACCATTATTAACTCAAAAAATTCTTACAATCTAGAAAAATATTTTCTGGCTTAAAATAATCTGCAAAGAGTTGATAAGCTGAAGAAAATGAATGAACAAATCAATCATTTAACCAAGAAGCCATTGGATTGACTTTCCTCAATCGTACGCTTTATTTGATTTTTTTTTTTTTTTGGATGTGGAATAAGGATTTCAGATTTCCTTGTAGAGACCCAGAAAGAACAAGATACTATATCTTAAACATTGGTTAAAAAGAAACCATGTTTTCTCATAAATAAAATCAACTTTTCTTTCTGCACTCCCTACAAGGGGACAGTGAAAAGCTGTTGGTTTAAGCAAGCAGGGATTCTAAAGCAAACTTTAATGTTTTGCCACTTGATCAGGATCTGAATTCTGATCAAGAGCCTTTCAACAACCCCCTTGTATTTTGTCTATTTCAGGCATGTTCTTCTGACATTAAATGCAAGTTAGATAAAAAAATAATTTGATTTTTCAATGTTAATTATCAAACTTTATATGTATACACCGACGCACATGCATGCAAAAATGTATACATGCAAAATTTAAGCATCTGATGTTGGAAGGAGTAGTTATCAATGAAAATTTAAATGACCAATTTTACTAGGATTTGAACTATGTCAGATCTGCTTGCTTTACTTCCAAGAAGGGTGACAATATGATACAGTAACCACGTTTAAAATTAATCTTGATATTGAGCAGTAGTATTTCGTGACTAAACAATAGCCCAAAGGAAGAAAATAATTTGAATAGAATTACTTTTTCAAAACAACAAAATTAAATACAATTTTCTTTGAATCAAATAATCCTCTTAAGAATTCAAAATCCAATAAAAATGTGTATTTTAATGTTTGTATGAATCAATGTGCTTAATGTACACAAGACCTTTTTATATTGTCTAAAAGCATATTGACTCTCCAATGGCATTATTACCTAAAATAGCTATTAATGATTCTAGTAAGATGGGAAACATTTGGTTTTTGTTTAAAAATAAAACTCTAGGCAGAATCCTCAACAAGGTTTGAATATACACTTGGGAACCAGTATTTAGCTACAGACAACTTTTTAATAATTTTTTTTCTCTTGCTAGGATATTGCAAAATGTAAGAATCAAAATAATTGGAAAGAAAGTTTTTTTTTTTTTTTTTTTTTTTTTTTTTTTTGTCTTAATTTTGTTGCCTTATATGAAATTTGTAAAAAATTAATGATAATCTTATTTTATTTTATTTTTTATCACGAATGTTTAGATATTCAGAAATGGATGATCCATATTTTAAAGTTGGAAATAATGATAATTCTTCTCTCTGTGTAAAACAGTGTGAATGATTTTGTACTCATTTCTAAATTATAAAGATGCAACATTGAATTTCTGTCTATCCTGCTTAAATGAGAAGTATGAAGGGTTTCAATAACATGTAGCTTCTAGCTTAATATTTGTTTTTAGTTAGGTTTGGAAAGACCCAAGTGGAAGCTTTCAATCAAATAGCATACTAATCAGGATAAATATTAGTGAAAAATATATCTCTATAAATGTACTGTCTGTATTTGTTTATTTTTTACCCTCATGAAGTGCATATAATATACACACACACACACACACACACACATATATATATATATATATGTTAGACAATGTGTTTTTGTCTACTGGCCTGCACACTCTCACTTGAGAAAATTTGATCAAGTAAATGTGCAGACTGGTAGATGAAATAAACACTTTAAAAAAATATTTCAGATTAAAAATAAAATCTATTAATCCTTTAGAAATATAATGTATAATGAAATGTCTGAAGTATGTAAGATGGAATATATAAAAACTAGTTGGATGATTAAATTTTTATTGTTGCCAACAATGTTTTGTTCAATAAGAAAAATCATCAGAACAGTTTATTTTATATATATATATATATATATATTCTGCTTGGACTGCTAGACTGTGCTGCTACCTCATAAATAATGGACTATTCTGTTTTGATAGTTTTGAAAGAACGAAAAAAGACATATCAGAGATGCTACTTGGTTTTGGTGAGAAAATGAAAGAATGAAGGGAAGATAAAAGTATTTGTAGATATAAAAGTATTTGTAGATATTTGTACACCCACTCAAATGTGGCACAATTTCAAGTTTCAAGTGGGAGCCAACATGTACATCGATGAAAAACAAAAATTGCTCAAGTCCTCTCAACACTTTTCCATTTTGGGGTGCACTTTGGATACCAGCTAATGATCCTGGCTCCTTCCTTACTAAGTATCTTGGGGCTTGGAAATAGTTAAAACTTAATGAAATATACTACTGTTTTTAATGGCATGGGTAAAAGTTATACAAAAGAAATAAAGTATTTAGTTTATTATTTTAGCGATAGCAGAAATCAATGAGATCTTATAGATGGGTAGGTTACTGATATTGTGATTCATTAATTTTGTGTCGGCAACATTCAGATTTGATACAAAACTAATTTTTATTCATTCTGTTTTGGAATAAGTTGTTTCTATCTTTAGTGAAATACATGCAGTGTTAATTTCAGTTGCAATTTTCAAACCTTATGCTAAAGTTCAAAAAGTCAGTCTATTTTCAGCCTTACTTGAATATTTGTTAAAAGTTGCATATTCCTCAAAACAACAGTTAGTGTTAATAATTTATGTTTTGTGAGAGAGAACAAGCGAGAGTGTACATTTTATTGATATGAAAATTAAAATTTGGTCATTAGGTAGGACTGATACTTATTTTTTTTTTTTTTTGACTATGTTTCTTTGTTTTTAGATTGGTCTGAATAACGTTAATTACAAATCGGTATTCAATTACTTGCATTAATAAAAATAGTCTTTTCAATAAAAATGAAATCATATTTATGCAATGATTTTAAAAAAAAAAAAAAATTTAAAAAGAAATTCCACTCCTGGTATAAACTTGAAAAATTGAAGATAGAAAAAAAAAAAATTTACAAGTTGTCTTATTTTTTTTTTGTTTTATTTGGAATAAATTAGCTTGTTCACAAAGTGATGTTATATTTTTAGAGGCTGAATAACAGGATCAATTGGAATAAAAATTAGATTAGTCAAAAATATAATTATCATTATGAGCAATGTCAAAATCTCAGTATAATTTTCTTTCTTTGCATGGGTGACGCCCCCTGCTCCCCACCAAATAGGTCTGTTTTTAAACTAAATCTTTGCTTTGATAAGGTCTTGATGAGTAGTTGATAGGAAATGTTTTCCTCTATTATGAACACTTAATACAATCAATCGTAGAAAGTAATTTTTATAGCATATAAATATTCTTTGATTTGGTCAGCAGGTAATATTCTTCAGAATGATAATAGCAATCCCAAAATTGCCACTCATGGTGTGTGTGTGTGTGTGTGTGTATATATATATATATATATATATATATATATATAAGCTTGTTCAGGAAGTGATGTTATATTTTTGGAGACTAAATAAAGACACGTTCCCAAAAACACATGGCCCAGTGGGTAAAAGGTTGAAGTAATCCAGTGACTTGAGTTGTGAGTTCAATAACTGGTCACAGCAGAGGTGAACAAATCTTGGAGAGTTCAGTTGCTAAGGAAATGACTGAAACTGAGATATTCAGTAAAGGCATGGCATGTGGAACTAGAACAATTTATCTCAGTGGACGAAATAAAAGGTTCGGTTTGAAATTCCAATATATATCACCTGAAGAAAGCTGGAGTGTACAATGACTGAAATGTCATGAATATGACAATAAAGATGAGGACAACAGTTTAAACAATGTCAAAAGTGTAAATAGTTACAATACCTAATCTCAGAAATATAGATAAGACAGGTTCAGTCTTCAGTTAGAAGAGTCATTATGTTGGAGCTGCTGTCTGTATTGTTTTAACTTAACTGGCTTAGGACCTTAAAATTTCCATTGAATCAGATTATTTGGATCCTTTCTTTGTAATAAAACCTTGGCAAACAAGGTTTGGTTGATTGATTTGATTTTTACAACCTTTTGTAAGTTATTTAAAACCAGAAAATATTCTTTTTTTAGATTTTAAGATTTAGAAATAAATTTTTGTGATAATTTACTAGTTCTACTAATTAACCTATAGTTGTGGGGAGAGAGAAGTGGTGGATTCATACCTTTCCCAAGGTTTTTTTTTTTTGTGTAGGTGAATATAATGCATCTGACTAGAAGTGGAACTTGGCTCTCCAATTTCCAGTTTTGAGCCATTATCCATTTCACCACCTGTACATCCAAGCTTACAGCACTTGATATTCCCAAGCAGTCATCCATCGTTTCAACATGATATGGCCATAAGCCTGGCAAACAAGGAAGAAATCGATTGAACATTTTATCAGGATTCTTTTCTTTGAGTATTCCAGATTGTTTAAGTAAGGAATGAAAGAATGAGTTAGTTGGCTTTTCTCATGTCTGGCAATGAAGATTTTGCTTCTGACAAATGGTTGTCACATTCACATTAAACATTTTTTTAATTGTCGTGAAAAAATGTTTTTGTTTTTTTCTTTCCTTTTTCTGTAATTGCATCACTGCAAAATATGGCATAGATCTCTTTGGTGAAACTGTGAAACATTAAAACGTTTTGCTATATAATTTCAGGGATGAACAAACCACATTGAAAAACTGGAAATAATGGTTTTTCTAATTGCAACTGTAGACCCAATTGATAGACAAGAAAATAACACAAAAATTCAGATGCGCAATTTTTCAGCCTGTCACTTTGACAAGCCTTGAAAATATATAGGTGGGGAGGTGACTCTCTGAATTCAATTTGCACCTCTTCCTTACCTCCAGATTGATATCAACAAT